TCAAGTTGTCTGTGGTCTTGCGAAAGGGTTGCGCTTACACAAGAATGTTTTCCGTCCCATTTACTGACTACCTAGTTGATATGAACCTCACCAAGAATAGTGAGACCCAAGACCAATTTAGTTAGGATCGTTTCTACAATTAGGAATTTAAAACAAGAAATAAAGAACCTTGACCCGTTAGCTATGGAAGATAAGAACGAAAGGTATAGGAAGGATAAAGACACCACACTTAAGAAAGAATAAGGTGAGATTAACAAAGCATTGGTCCTAAAACAGCCTGTGATTGTACTCTTATATAAGGTGGCTTGATTTAACATTAATGAAGTTAATTCATCTCTGCCTAGTGCAATTATTTCTGTTTTGCAAGATTTTGAGGATGTGTTCCCTGAAGAAATACCTGATGGTTTACCACCAATAAGGGGTATAGAGCACCAAATTGATTTCATACAAGGGGAAACAATTCCAAATAGGCCAGCATATAGAACCAACCTTGAAGAAACAAAGGAGCTCCAAAGACAAGTTAATGAGCTTATGCAAAAGGGGCATGTGCATCAGAGCATGAGTCTATGTGTTGTTCCAGTATTGCTTGTGCCTAAGAAAGATGGTTCTTGGAGGATGTGTGTTGACTGTCGTGCCATCAACAATATCACTGTAAAGTATAGTCATCTTATTCTTAGAATTGATGATATATGCTAGATGAGTTGCATGGTGCATGTGTTTTTACTAAAATTGTTCTTAGGAGTGGATATCATCAAATCAGAATGAAAGAAGGTGATGAGTGGAAAACTGCAATCAAAACAAAATATGGTTTGTATGAATGGTTGGTTATGCCATTTGGTTTAACTAATGCACTCAGCACCTTTATGAGGTTGATGAATCATGTTTTGCGTGCATTCCTTAGAAAATTTGTGGTTGTATATTTTGATGACATTCTGATTTACAGAAAAAACTTGAATGAGCATGTTGAGCATTTAAAACTTGTTTTGAATGTTTTGAGGAATGAGAAGTTGTTTGCTAATCTAAAAAAATGTTCTTTTTGTACTAACAAGCTTATGTTCCTAGGTTTTGCTGTTAGTTCTAAAGGGATAGAGGTGGATGAAGAAAAGGTAAAGGCAATTCAAGATTGGCCTAGTCCTACTTGTGTGAGTGAAGTTCGAAGTTTTCTTGGGCTGGCTAATTTTTATAGACTATTTGTGAAGAACTTTAGTAACTTAGCAACAACTAAGACAGTAGTTTTTGAACCAGGAGATTGAGTTTGGTTACATATGAGAAAGGAAAGATTTCCAGCCCAAAGACGATCCAAACTGCTTCCAAGGGGTGATGGACCATTTCAAGTTATTGAGAGGATAAATGATAATACCTACAATAACCTTCAAGGTGAGTACAATGTTAGTGCAACCTTTAATGTTTCTAATTTATCTCCTTTTGATGTAGGTGCAGATTTAAGGACAAATCCTTTTGAAGAGGGAAGGAATGATATGAAAAAAGATACAACACCTAGTGATCCATTATAATTGCCAAATGGACCAATCACAAGATCAAGGGCCAAGAAGTTTAAAGAAGCTCTTAGTGGGTTGATCCAGCAAATGTGGGCTAATCATGAAGACATCAAGTACAAATTTATTCATAATTAGAATTTAGTTAATGGCATCAATGCAAGGGAGGTTGAGTGGAATAATTAGCAATTTTCAATGTCATCAATGCTTAGTGAGGCTGATAGCATTTTCAATGTTATTAATGTTTAGTGGGGTTGATTCACATTTCCAATGTCATTAATGTTTAGTGGGCTGATTAAATTCTTTTCCTTTTTCCAAGTTGTCAACTTTAAATTAGTGTCTTTTCATTTGTTAGTTTTTTCTATTCTTGGAGGGATGTTCCAAGTATAAGTAAGGGAGGATACAACTTTTGTTATCAGATTTTGAAGTTATAATATAATAGATAGGTTTCTTCTCTTTGGTTATTATCTAGAACTCTGAACTTATCAAGAAGTTTGTTCTTGTGGCATTCAAACCAGACTTATCATTCACCTTCTTCTTTCTTGAGTGTGGCGTCTTTATCCTTCTTATACCTTTCGTTCTTATCTTCCATAGATAACGGGTCAAGGTTCTTTATTTCTTGTTTTAAATTCCTGATTGTAGAAACGATCCTAACTAAATTGGTCTTGGATCTCACTATTCTTGGTGAGGTTCATATCACCAGTTGCTGATATTCTTCGGTTTAATTGCCCTTACTCGCCAATTGCAGCCTTCTTCATGCTTACACATTTCATAGACAACTTTGTTGTAGTACTCTCAACCACCACAGCTTCTTGATGTTCATTCATGCAGTAATGTTTTATAGCGGCTTGGACATCGCGCTTCGACTCGAACTCTTGTTTCACATACATTTCCTCGCCTCTTGTGTACAGACCACGACCTAATCCTTCAACATCTAGTATGTCTTCGTTCGGGTAATCGAAATTAACAGCCCCATAATGTGGAATCGCATCCCAAAATGGTGTGACCTCTACATATAGAAAAATAAAAAAGAAATTTGGTAAAACATGGTAACTCATACAAAATACAAAATTAATAATATAGCCCACTAAATAACCTGATGATGGTGGAACAACCGTAATATTGGACATAGGGATAACAGTCTCGTGTTATATGGAATTATCATGATGTTCAACATCACCTGGATCACTATCATTCTGATCATGGTCATTTGCCAATAGAGTGTCTTCATCTTCCTCTTCCTCTTCTTCTTCATTGTTAGGTTCAACATCTACCATATAGTCACTATCTTCATCCGCAACAATTGATTGTGTGGGCTGCAGTACGGATGACAATGGATTTTTTGTCTGACTGTTAAGGTCGAGCCCTCGAATCGGTGTTGACAGATCCTCTAATGTCTCAATATCCACACGTATAACTCAACAAATTGAGACGTAGTAGAGTTTTGGACAAAAGTTCCAAGAAAAATGTCTATGTCCTCATCATTACATATTTCAAAATTTGTATATTTGCGATTTCTATATGAGACTCTACCAGTAAGAGAAGATATTACCTAATTTTGTTGCAACTTCAATTTCTGACGAATCTTCTCATGTAGATCTTCAATGGACAAGCTCGAACAATATACATTGCTCTATTTTTCCCTTCGAAGCTCAAACTGCATACACTGTTAACTTTAGAACCATTATAATATACAAATGAATGAAATTGATCAATTGTAGTACTGTGTTTTTATGAAAATAATCCAAAATTACTGCAGATTTTGGTGACTTACAATAAGTCAGAAAACAACAACATTAAAAAATACACATTGCAAGTGATATAAAACAAAATATGAACTAAGCATCCGTGTGTAAATAGCAAATACAGAAATAGAAACTTTGGACACTAAGTGAACTACGACATATTTAGTAATTCATTCTTAGATCGAGTGGGTTTATATATACCCAATTTGGAAAAGTATTCACGTAACTGTCAATTACGGGATCAATGCATGTACTTATGTCCTGTGTCTTCCCACCACGTGAAGCTCGTGGCCACCGACAGTCAGTCAGCACTATTCTCGTCAACTGCAGTGGCGTGACCAGCGGTGATTAGAAAATGCAAGCTAGTCTCGTCAATCATGGTGGCGAGACCAATGCCACGTGGCCCTGCAGCAACCAGTCGCGTCAGCATGGGTGGCGGGATTGAAGCTAATTGGGACGCATCAAACATGCTGACGGGACACATGCAATTCACGTCCCTTACTTTGACGGGATTGGTTCGCAGTCTTACATGGCATGCAGTCACGTTAGATTATTTTACAGGATTTCTCTCGTCAACGTTTTTGACACGCTTGACTGCTGTAGTTTGGTGAAACATCTCAAAAGTGCTTTGAGTTGGAGGTACATTTGGAAAATCTTCTTAGTAAGGTTGTTTTGCCAGATTATTGTTATTATGATTATAAATAAAAATAGGAAAGAGGATGTCCACAAAAAAAAATAGGAAAGAGGATAATACGGTTAGTGACGCAATGAACTAGGAGAAGGAGCTGTCAAAACTCAGTTCCCAAAAATCTGAATCGTAGCTGCAACATCACTTATAGCTTTTTCCTCTTGACTTCTTCCTATTATTTCCTTTTTTTTATTATGTATTTGGTGGCATTATTAAATTTTGTCAAACCAAGCACTGCATTACCCAAAAACTGGTAGCAAAATCAATGAAGAAAAAGGAAGGTGATAACATTACCCAAAAAAGAATTGCTAGCTTTTTAAATAAAAGATCTATTTGACCCCTCATTTATTCTGGCTTTTCCCTATTATACCCTTAAATGATACTCAAATTTACAAAATATTGCCACCCGTGCTTTCTACGTTTCCTTTTCTCCTTGAATGTCTATAACTTATCTTCCTTTTCCTGTAACGGCGTGATAGCGCCGCAAGAGCTGCCATCTGCCACCGTCACAACCAGCCGCTATCAGAAACCGTCGTGTTGCGGTGTGAAAATAGTGGTTGGATGCCACAACATGTAACTGAAGCACGATAGCGCACTAAAGCAGTGCTATTTTAATCATCGTTTTCTCTATGCCAAAAGAAAATCAAAGGAAAACAAGTTGAGATCATACAGATATAAAGCAACTGATTCAGGTATATTTGGGGTGGAATGTTCTGATCCGGACATCCTTGGCCTCTTCAAACATGAACTATTACTCCAGTTAACTTTTGCTCCTCCTTGTTGTAATGAGTGGGGTTCTAAAGTGATGGGACAATACGATTAAAAGTGTAAAATGACACATTTCAATGTGAAAAAGTCTTATTTTGTTTCCCTTCATTTTATGTTGCACGTTTTGCATGTTGATTGGTGACACATGCCTAAAACTTAAGGTCAGCTACAGCTTTTTAATAGAAAAAAAGAAAAATTAGTTACTTTTGCAAGTTACTGTCTGCACTTGCCCACAGGGGCAATAGTGCAGTCCGCCAATAGTGTTAAGCACCAATCTTAAAGTTTTTGGTTTGAAGTCAATAAATCATAGAGACAACGGTAGGTGTATTGGAGGTATAGAAAGGAGTAATTTTAATTTTACATTTTTCATAACTAACACACTATTGCGATCATCCAAATAAATAAGAGAAGGAAGAAGGAAGAAGGAAATAGAGCCGTCCGTTCGACCTTTTAAAAGATAAAAAAAAAAAAAATGAAACTGAAATTTGAGAAGCTAAGCCAGGGGTTGCAAAGCAAGCTCAAGGTAGTTAATTTCAAATATGTTTTAAATTGAAGAAATGCACCAAGGTAATCGAGCAAGCCCGGGTTGGTCAAAATGGTCTTGCAGCCTCTTCCATCATCATCTTTATTCTGGTCAACTTCTCAATCTCCCTAAGAGCCTGAAATTAGTGGAATGATTAAAAAATAAATAATGATACATAACCAAAAAATAAATAAATAAATAAAAATATTGACATAATTTAGTCAGAATTTGACATGATTCAATGGTAATTGTTGGATAAGTCAAAATGGTAATAACCACTCCGTTAGCAAAGTCCATTCACCAAGGCGTATGTTAGAAGGAAGAAGGGAGAACTTAGGATGAATAATAGCTAATTAGATAGTCAAAACAGTTATTAATTGGAGAGTCTCCGACAGAATTAACAAGTGTTAGTTTGGAAGGGTGGGAACATGAAGTATAAAAGGAAGAGGGAAAATAGGAGAAAGCACGTTAGGACAGAAGTTGAGGACCAGGGATCTCAATCACCTTGAACCAGTTTCTATCATGCTCATCCAACCAAGTGTCAATAACAAAGCTAATTCATTCCAGAAAAATTATGGTCAAATGCTTTCCTAACAAGAAATAGTTAGTATGACATACTTCAAATCAAAGCTGCAAGATGCTTGAATAAAATTCTAACCTCCAAAGTCATGTCTTCTCTTGTAATGTCATCCAAATTATCATAACCCAACCGAGAAGCTACTTCTGTAGAAAGAAAGCAGTAAGGACTTGAGACAAACATGGTAAACCATATACCAATTTACTTCGTCCCCACCTCCCCATGCAGGGCAAAAAATTTAAATAAAACATCCAAGAAAGGTTATAATATACTTTGAACTGAAATAATTGCATCAGCTGTTGCATATCCATCTCTGTATTTATTGTATAAAGCGCCAAGTTCATTCGTCACCTATTATCATTTATTAGAGACATTAATTAAGAATTTAGATTTACTGAAAGTAGAAAAGTTATATCATTAGACTTTTAACAGTAAGAAACAACCTCTGGGTAAGATCCTGAAGTAGATATTTCAATTGAAGCAAATTGACTCCGGTCTTCAATTACATCCCTAGCCACAATGTCTAGAGGCACATCTATCCACAATGAAATCCCATGTCTCAGAAGTGCCCTATGTCGATTTAAGAGCAAGTCAAGATAATGTTGAAGCTAACATGGAGTTTGGCATATTATTTAATAAAGGTAAGAAAAGTCAGCTCAAATAGCCTGCAAGTATGAATCCATACAGATTAGTTGAACTTTGAACAGCGCCATTTCCAACACAAACTACTAGTCGACCCATGGATGACAATTGTTTAAGTACTTCAGTCTGCAGCATTTAACACATAAAACATAAGTACTTTATATTCTAATACATCAGAAAAGTGGTGGATATGAGCATCTTTATCATGAAATTTCAGTGAATAAAGCATGTCTGTCCAGCTAGTTAAAAGAAATTAGTTTGTCAGGGTCACACTATTCTGATGCACAGACAACCAACAAAGAGGAACTGATAGCAATTGAGCATGCATCCAATGGAACACAAAGAAACATGAAGCAAGTCTAATACAATCACCTCAGACTCGCAGAAGCCCTTTTCATCACTCTCTCTAAAGGATTTTGCCGCTGATGTACCACCTGTAGCTTCTTCCACCAAACTATCGCTGTATACAGCACACAAATATCAAGTTTAGCTAATAATTGGAAGCTACCTTTTTTCCTCAAACCTTTCATCAGGGAATGAACAGATACCTGTCAAAATAATAATACCGTAATATATCAGCCAGCAGCTTTCCCAAACTTGTTTTAAGAGAGCTTTTCATTCCTTCATCAAGCAAATAGACACATAAAGTTAAGGGGGTCGAATCACAAAAAGCCACGAACATCAAGAAACACTAATTGCATTATAAGCTAATCTTACCAACCAGAAATATGGAGGTCCCTTTCAGCTCGGGGGATACTTCAGCGGCTTTCTTCTGAGTCAAAACTTGACAGTTAAAATGAGTAATTTCAAGTTTCAGCCACCAGAAAATCACCCACCTTAAATACTTTTCATCTCATGGATATCATGTGAAACATTCAAGAAGAATGAATTCTTCATACTATGTTTGGATCATCGTCCATTATTCAAAAGTATGTCATTTTCTTTCATTACTGCAAGAGAAACCCAATATATGCATATGAATTCAACAATAAAGGAATGGGATCCCACCTTCAACGCAAGACATGAATCCTCGACAGCAACCATGGTCACTGAAGCTACAGGGGCAAGAACAAATAAAAATGATAGAGTAAGTACATTAACCGCCTAATATTCATGTTTTATATTACCACTAGAAAGACCTGTCGTTCAATCATGTATTCTAAACCCCTTTTATCATTTTATTCCTACTGAACCCTTAAGCTTGAAAATTCAGAATTCGTTTAAAGATAGAGATGACATGCTTATCGGATAGCAAATATCAATTACAAGTAGGAAATCAGACAAAGGTCAGAGGATAAATGATAACAATCTCACAAAAAGTTTTAAAATTTGAAGAAGAAAAAAAAAAGTAATGGAAGTTAAATTTAAAATCAGAAACCACAGGGAAATAGGAACACAGTACTGGGAGTAGTGCCGTCGGGTATCGAGCAATTGGCGGAGGGCAGCCTGTGGAAGGGATAAGAATAAGAGGGACAGGAAACTCGAAGGGGGTTTGTGTGAGTAAGATGGGTTGAAAAGGTGAGGGTGGAAGTGTGCAGCTGAAATTGAAAGGGGCAGGTGCGAGCAAGAGACGGCAGAGAAGCAGATGTATTGTTCATGTGGCTGAACCTCGTGCTTGCCTTCTCCATTAAAACCACAACCTTATTCCTTCAAATCTATTATCTTTGTCCTCGGTACTCTTATGCAATTATTCATATATATATATATAGGACTTATCGTTTCCTCAAGCTGTCTGAGATAACATTATTTCCGGTCACTAAATTATAACCGTACAAAGATGGATCAATGGTAATAAAGGAAGAAAGAGAAAAAGGAATCATAATTATTCAAAGATAAATTAATTAATATAAGGAAATAAATAAACAAAACGACGTAGTTTTGGAATTGTCGGAGATAAACTTGTCTCAAGCTGCTCGATAAATATTTTTTTCCATATATATATATATATATATATAATGTGACTGTTTACAACATTTTATGCAGTTGTATAAAAGCGGCGTCGTTTTGGCCAGGAAGAAAAAAAAATTATCTCATTCTCATATAGCAGTCTTCGTCTCTTTTCCTCATGCACCACTTTTCCAGCAAGTGACACCGCCAGGCACTCCAACCTAAAGTCGTTCACCGTCAGACACTCTCCACAAAGTGATTCCCACTGATTCTGGCAGCGATCTTGAAAAAGAAAAAATAGTGTTCATTTGAACCGTTATGGTGGGGTATCTTTCTGATGGATTAATTTAGTGAGGTAAGAAATGAGTTAGGTTGGTTCTCTTGGTGTTTTTTTTCTTAACATAATTATTTTTCTGTCTTTGGATTTTTTTTATTTTTCCTTAAACGTTGTTTTATTTGGTTCTCTTGGTCACCTATTGTATTTGGTTCTCTTGGTCACCGACTCACCTATTGCGTTTTTAGTTAGTTAGAGATTTTTTTATTTTTTTTAATGGCATGTAAATTTACTTTCATGGTTTTTCTTTACTTTGTTTTGATTTGTAATATGGTGTTTGGTTTTATTCTTTGATTTGTAATATGGTGTTTGCAGTATCATCTCACTTTTTTTTTTCCTTCTTGGTTTTGTTTGGTTTGATGCTTTGATTTGCAGTATGATGTTTGTAGTATCGTCTCACTTTTTTTTTCTTTTTTGGTTTTGTTTGGTTTGATGCTTTTTTTTGGATAACAAAGGAAAATTACAAAGCAAAAACTACTAAGCAATAGTTCTGGGCAGCATAGTGCCCCTACAGTCATCTAAACAAATGTCCCCACAGCCATCCGGAGGAGAGCTGAACCAATGAATATCCCATTCCGTATCAACTCTGAGTTTAGCCATCCAATCAACCACTCTGTTGCCTTCTCTATATGTATGTAAAATATGTACCTGCCAATTACGGTTAAGGAGGTTCTTAATTCTATTCACAAGAGAATAACAGGGATGAGTATCAACACACCCTTCTATCATCAATTGATTAGCCACCAAGGAGTCCCCCTCCAAGATCACACATTTGTGTTGCTGCTGCCAAGCCCACTCCAACTCAATCACACAGCCCCACAATTCTGCCATAAGCACAGTACCATGACTCAGATTTTTATTGAAACCCTGCAACCAATTCCCAAAGGTATCTTTCATTACTCCACCACAAGCCAAATCTGAGCCATTGTTTCGACAGGTTCCATCAATATTAATCTTGATCCAACCCTCCATGGGAGCCCTCCAATGAACCCAAATCTCTTCCATAGTATCAACAATTAAACCAGATGACAACAGTATATCATTAGAACTTTCAATGTTTAAAATGTAAATAGAAACCTGATTGAAGAAATCCTGGGGACTAAGGCCTATGCCTTCAAAAATAAGCTTGTTTCTTCCTTTCCACAACTGCCAACAGATCACACCAAATTTCAACTTCCATCTTTTATTGTGCTCCCTAGAATTCAGATTCCAATTCAGCCAGCTGTCAACACCATTGCTGTAGAAATTAGCCTGCCTTTTGCTATCAATCCAGTAGCTCCAAACTTCCCTCGTCCAGCTACACTTCCTGAATATATGGTCTATATCTTCAACAGGGTCATGACATTTAGGACACCCAGCATCATCAGACATGTGCCTTCTAAACCGTTCAGCATTAGTGAGGAGCTTGTTACTAAAAAGAAGCCAGAGGAAGAATTTAGTCCTTTGGGGACCCTTCCATCTCCAAACCAATCTCCAATCCTTAGCCCGAGGGTCAATTTGAGGGGTAATTAAGGAAGCATAAGCTGACCTAACAGAGAACAAACCTGATGAAGAATGTCTCCACACAACTCTGCCAGGTCCACCATCCTCAAATGGGGGGGAATACCTGCTATAGCATGCAAAATTTCATCAGACAGGTAGTGACCCAATATACTCCAGTTCCAGCTACCTTCAACCGATATACAATCTATAACCTTCCAGTTTAGAACCTCTTCAGGAACTTCTAGGATAGCCTTATCAAACAGGTTATCCACTCCAGGGATCCAGGGGTCCTTCCAGAATCTTGAACACCTACCATCACCAAGAAGAATTAGGGGCCCAGCTTGGATAAGCTTCCATACCTGTTGAATACCTCTCCAAGTATTAGAGGCATTTCGCACAGTAGAGATGTTGGGAATCATGATATCCCCAACCTTATACTTAGCTTTGAGAAGTTTCACCCAAAGATTGTCAGCATTGTTAAGCATACCAAAACCTAACTTCATGGAGAAGGTTTTGTTGATCATAACTTGGTCTCTAAGACCCAAACCCCCATCCATCTTGGGCTTACAGACTTTAGACCAGCTGACAAGGTGAGTTTTCTTTTGTTGTTGGCTTGAACCCCAAATAAAGCTTCTAGTAAGCTTCTCCACTTCCTTGCAAACTCCCACAGGAATGACAGCAGATTGCATTGTGTAGGCAGGTAATGCTTCAAGAACAGCTTTAGCCAGAGTAGATCTACCAGCCAAGGAGAGAGAGTGAAGATTCCAAGAGGACAGTCTCTTCTGAACTCTATCTATAACATGGCTAAAGGATCTTTTGGAAACTCTTCTATGATGAAGTGGAACTCCCAAGTACTTTCCCAGATCAGATGTAATGGAAAATCCCAAACAGTAACTAATTTCTCTAGCTTTACCAAAGCTGACATTCTTAGACAAAAATACCCTAGTTTTCTCATTACTAACTTTCTGTCCCCAAGCCTCAGAGAAAATTTTCAGGACTTGATTGATCATATGAGCTTGCTCTATACTAGCCTCAGCACAAACGATTATGTCATCTGCAAAAAATAAATGAGATAAAGGAGGGGCCTCCTTATTAAGCAGGTCTGGTTTCCAAGCTTTTACATCCACTGTCACTTGAATGAGATGAGCCAGTCTCTCCATACAGAGCACAAACAAATAGGGGGAGATGGGATCCCTCTGTCTAATTCCTCTTCCAGGAATAATCTTTTTGGTAGCAACCCCATTCCATAAGAGCTTGAAAGAGGCTGAGGATATACAGCTGGAAATTAAGTCACAAAGAGAGTCAGGGAAACCAATATCTCTGATTGTCACTCTAACAAAGTTCCAGCTCAGCCTATCATACGCTTTTTCCAGGTCAACTTTGATCATCATCCAACTCTCCCTACCTGTTTTCCTCCTCATTGAGTGAAGGACTTCCTGAGCTACTATTATATTGTCAGTACTCTGTCTTCCCTTAATAAAACTACTTTGAGTCGGGGAAATCAACCTAGGCAGAAGTTCTCTCAATCTCTCAGAAATAATTTTGGTAATGACCTTGTAAATAACATTACATAGGCTAATAGGACGAAAGTCCTTCATGTTCTCAGGCAATCCTTTTTAGGGACAAGACAGATGTGAGTTTTATTGATCTCTCTCACTTTAGCAGGATCAATGAAGGCATCCTGAACTAACTTGCATACTGATTCCTCAACAGTAACCCACTGACTTTGAAAGAAGATTGCATGCAACCCATCAGGGCCAGGTGCCTTGAATTTTCCCATTCTGAAAACTGTCCTCCTAATCTCCTCCTTGCTAGGTCTTTGAGCCAGCATAGCCCTCTCACAGGTAGATAGGCTAGGGAAAGCATTCTGGATTGGAAAGAAACCATCATCCAATTCCTCAGCTCTAAACAAATTCTGATAATAGTCAACAACCATGGTCACCAACTCATCAGGATCATCTAACCAGCACCCATTGGCATCCTGTAAAGTAATGAATCGATTGTGTCTTCTTCTAGCCACTGTAGAAGAATGGAAAAAATTTGTGTTTTTATCTCCAAACTTCAACCAGTGACATCTAGCTCTTTGATACCAAGATAGTTCTTCCTTAATAACAATGGATTGAAGCTCCCTCCAAAGTTCCTTATGAAACAGCTCCATACTGTGGTTGTATCTACCATTAGAATAGGTATCAATTCCCCTCAACCTAGCATAGATCTTATTTTTCTATTGAGTAGTTTTCCCAAAAACCTGATGATGCCAGTCTTTAACCTCAACTTCAAATATGTTCTGGCTTGGACCCAGTCAGAACTTTTTTGCCAATTATTCTTAACCAGGTTCCCAAACCCTTGATCAGTCAGCCAGACTACCAAGAACTTGAAGGTTCTAGAATATTCACCTGGCCTAAGAGTACCACTTTGAGCCAGAAGCAAAGGCCTATGGTCTGAATTAAAAAAAAGGAAGATGAGAGATGAAGCAGTCAGGCCAAGTTAGGTTCCAGGACTCATTAGAGCAAGCCCTATCAATCCTCTCGTAGAGTTTCCCTCTCTTCCAAGTGAAACCAGGGCCCTTGTAACCCATATCATTCACCTTGCAACTTAACAAACCCTGCTGCATGTCTGACATACTTGCCCAACAAACCTCACCACCTCCAATCTTCTCAGATGTATGGATAATAGAGTTGAAATCTCCCATCAGGATCCAGGGATCAAAAATGGACTGGCTAAGCAGCTCTAATTCCGACCAAAGAATCCTTCTCTCCATCCTCCTCGGGCTACCATAGACAAATGTCATGAGATCAAACTTCAAAGAATTTAGGTGATGTACCTTAGTGTGCACAAATTGGTGGTGGGTTAAGAGAATTTCCAGCGTGATCAGATTGGAATCGCAAAGGATCCATATACCCACTGAGTATCCAACAGACTCTTGTTTAAAAAAATCAGAAAACCCCAAATGCTTAATGATGTTATCTCCCTTAGGACCAGAAACTCTAGTTTCTAACAAAACCAAAATGTCAAATCTAAATCTGAACTTTAAATCTCTAATGAGGGTAGCAAAGCCTTTTTTACCAACCCCCCCTACAATTCCAAACACAAACAGACATGAAAACAAAATAATAATAAAAAGACCAGGGTAAAAAACCCTTAAGAGACTTACTCAAAGTTGAGTCAAAAAAGTGCCCCCTAAGTGAGGACTAGAGCTGCTGACACCTTGATCCTTCTAGACAGGGGAGGAAACAAGAGGAGGGTCATAATCCATAACTCCTTTCCCTTTTACGCCCTCCTGGACATGCATCCCATCGGATTTCTCACTAGGATTGGATATAGGTTTCCCTTTTTCTCTCAGCTTGCTAGCTGCCTTAAAGGAACCTGTAACACTCCGTATATACTCGGAATATTAACATTACATCGTATTAAGCGGTGCTTAATTAAAAATGCGGAATATTCTTTTTCTTTTCAATTATGACGTCATTATCAATTATCATCTTGATTACTTAATCAATTTCATAAAATATCGCCTGTATGTAAATTGCAACAAGACATTTACTGAAATACCTCAATATATAAATAAAGTGTGTATCTAAATCACGGTATTACATCTCGTAATCCGGACAATATCCTGATACATTATTACAACTCCAAAAGACTCAAGACATAATCAAGACATAACAATACTATGTGTCATGGACAATCCCCATGCTCACCAAATAACATAGTAAACAACAAGTCTCAACATAAAACTCTATAAACATAAACTGAAGCTATGAGCATATAAGCAGCATGCATATCCAGCATCCAATCATGGCAGCATAATAGAACAGCAATCTAACTCAGCTCCGGCCTCCTGCCGCCGGAGGTCTCAACATTACCTGACCCTGAAATAAGCATTCCCCAAACGTGGGATGAGATCTCTAAACAAGAAATCTCAGTAAGACAAGGGGTCCTCAAGGATCTTCCACCCCAAGCTCACTTACATGTGCAATATAAGTTCTAAAAGCATTTATATCATTATCAGTTCCAAAACTATGTAGTGTAACAGATATCTATGGCATGTGTGTCTATCACTACCTACTGGCCAGAGAAATGTAGGAATACGTCTATTCCCTACATGTAGTACAAGGAACACCGCTTGCACCTCACCCACAGCCTCACCCTCTTGTATGTTCTACATACTCAGGCTTACCGTATAGGTGGAACACCTCCATGCATATCAACAAGGCACTAACATACAATAGCTCAACAACATTTCCAAAACATCAAAAGCATGTAACACAACATGCATATACCATATCCCCATGGGACATGGTGGAACCACAACATGGCTAAACCGAGGACACGAAAGCTTACCTCTAAGCTAGCTATCCAATGCCACAAGCTCAAAGTCCAATCACAGCAGATCACAATCTGATAGGGACCAAATATAAATCAATAAACATGTACCACATGCATAGAAATTAAAGACAACGCCTTTTCATTACGTTTAATGTCTTAAAGCTTCTAACAAAGCCACAAGCCCTTACTCACATGATTCTGGCTTAGTCCATTAATTACAGAAGTTCAACTTCATCAATCTAGGGTTCACAAACCCCCAATAGCCTATTGTACACACAACACAGCTACTGTTCTGCGAAATCCCAGAATATCCGGATATTCCTCGGGACCATATCCGGATATGCAATATCCGGATATCTCACTGTCCATATCCGGATATGCAATATCCGGATATACAGATTCCCATATCCGGATATCTAATATCCAGATATCCCAAAACTCCATATCCGGATATCACATATCCGGATATCATATCCGGATATCCAATATCCGGATATTCCACGGGCAGATATCCAGATATTTCACGACAGAATGCAGAAACTGCATTTCGTGAAGATATCCTTCAAAGGTTGGGTTTTTACCGATTTTAAACACTTAAACATGCATTTCTAGGTGTGTTAAGCATTACCCAACAACAAGTTATCATCTTTTTTTCTTCTTTTTTTTGTAATACAAGTTATCATCTTTTAGCATTAACATGCATCAAGCTTCCATTTTTAAGACTTAAAACTCAAGTTAAAGGTTGGTGATCATACCACAACTCAAAACAGAGGATGGAGATGCTCTTGGAGATCCATCTTTAGGCTTGGGAAACTTGTTGGTAATTTATAGTGATAGCATGAAACGTATTCTGATGGATTGCACTTGTATTTAGGTTCGCCTATTTCGTGAGTTGGTGGACTTTTGCTGCTGCCTGGTAATTTATTTGTGACGTGTGAGGTAAGTGTATGGTGGTATTACCTAATGTGACTATTGACTAGTGTATGAGATTGTTATGTGTTGCTCACATGCGAATGATAATTATACTGTTATTTATATTGAAAGTATTCTACCTACGGAAATGTTTGACGAAGTTTCAATGATGAGGTAAAATGTTCATGTCCGCATGAAGTATATGTTATGAGAATGATGATATATCTATGCATGTTACATTATACGCATTTATTTTCTGTTTTGAGTGGGAAAGCATTGCATGGCATACAACATTGAACATTCATTGGAAACAGAGATATATGTATAAATAAATATACATGTGAATGAGCATGCATCATATAGGCATGCCTGGTACCAGGAGAGGGGACACTTGGCTTCCGTCCGCATAGGTCCACAGTTGGAAATTCACCATTGATTTTTGGAGCCATATGGAATATCCACTGTGATGGCACGCGCACGACGGTGCTATGAGCGTGATGAAGGCATTATATACGCACCAAGATATATGATGATATTTATAAAGAAATGAAAGGAAAGGCGTTATATACGCACCATGGTATATGAGGATATTTATAAAGGAATGTAATGAAATGTTAATGCGACTGTTTATGATTTTGTGCCTAGCTTAATATTGTTGCATTATTGGTTTTGTTGCCACACTACTGGGATTTTTCTCATCCCTTTGGGGCTGCTATTTTTATAAAATGGCAGGAGGACGTAAAAGCTTTTGAGGACTTGGATATTTGCTGTTGGTTTCTACTGTTGGGCATGCTGCTGTGATTGTATTAATTTCATGGATGACTGTACTAATTGTGGATGTTTAAATTATTAGTGAACTATGTTTGCATCCTTTTTTAAGACTTTTAAGAACAGCAAGTGTTTTGAAACGGATTTCAGAACCGTTTTTACGAAAACTGATTCATGACGTTTTGAAAGCTAAGTTAAAACTGTTTCTGCGAGCATTTTGTAGGTTGGCGTCCCGGGGCTACGGACCTCTGATTTTCTTAAAATTTATATGCACGCGTAGCCCAAGGTGTCTAGTTGTATTATATATAAACCTTTCAACGAAATTATGAAAGCTCGATTTATTATGATTTTTGCAAGTCAGGTCGTTTGATATAAATTCACTGATTTTAACTCTCACCTTACGAGTTATGTTTCGAGGGGCAAGCGACCTTCAAATTACTATTATTTTATATGAACGCGAAGCCCCTGATGTCTAGTTTCTAGATTACAAAGAATATTTTTTTTGAATTGTTGAAGTGAATTTTATACGAATTTTTGAAGACAGCAAGGTCTGCCAGGAAAGTTATATTTTCAGGAGTTGAGAAATTTCGAAAGTATACTTTGATTTTTGTGACGAACCCGATTTCAATTATAAGTTTTTAATTGGCATTGTAAAAGTGATTTTTAGTCTCTAAAATATGATTAAAGAACTCTAATCCGCTTAGCAAACAACTCTCTTGGATGCATACAAGGGAGAGTGTTACAATCTGGCATCCAACAAACAGTTCAACACATGCCAATCATAATTCTAGTAATTCAGGAGATTAATTATAGTATGCAGCAACCAGTACAGTTCCATAGCTACTTTCAACCAGCAATCAGTTCAGCAATTATTGAACAATTCAACAGTTAAATTTAAACAGTAATGATCACACAACAGATATCAACAGCAAGGATGAACAAACAGCAACCAATGCAGTACTCATAACAAACACCTTGAATCAAAATTGCTCTGATACCAATTATTGTAACACCCTATCTTGTATGCATCCAAGAGAGTTGTTTGCTAAGCGGAATTAGAGTTTTGACGTCATTTTAAATACTGAAAAATCATTTAGATGTTGCTAATTGAAGCTTATGATTGAAATCAAGTTCCTTACACAAATCAGAGTATGCTTTCAAAATTTCTTAAGTTGCTGAAAATATTATTTTCCTGGCAGACCTTGCTGTCTTTAAAAATTCGTATAAAATCAAGTTTTCGAAATTCCATTGTAACATTTTTGTAATGAAAAACTAGACACGTGGGGCTTCGCGTGCATATAAATAATAATAAATCGGAGGTCGTTTGCCCCTCGAAACAGAACTCGCAAAGTGCTCGCAAGGCTGTTTGAAATTCAGCACTTTAATTAAAACGTCAGAATTTCTTTTCACAAAACATTTTTAGAGATTTTCCAAAATGCTTGCTGATCATAAAAGTCTTAAAACAGCAGTAACATCATAGCGTCAACAGCAATCCAAATTTCCAGTATGCCAAATAAAAATACAGTCATCCACCAAAAAGACAGTAACAGCAGCAAGTTCAAACAGCAGCAATTACAGTAGTTATCCATATAACCACGTCTTCAATTGCTTTTGCGTCCTCCTGTCATTTTATAAAAATAGCAGCCCCAAAGGGGTGAGAAAAATCCCAGTAGTGTGGCAACAAAACCAATAATGCAACAATATTAAACTAGGCACAAAGTTATAAAACAGTCGCATCAACATTAACTTCATTTCTTGATAAACATCATCATATATCTTAGTGCGTATATAACCCCATCTTTACGCTCATAGCACCGTCGTGCGCGTACAAACACAGTGGAAATTCAATGCACGGCACCCTCATTTGGTGAATTCCACTGTGACCTATGCGGACGGATGCCAAGTGTCCCATACTCTGGTATCGAGGGATGCCTATATGATGCGTGCTCAATCACATGTCCTTATATATATATATATATATATATATATATATTCTAGGATGTCATGAGTTCTAAGTCTACATGCTATGCAGTCACACCAAACAGAAAGTGTATCAGGATGTAAAAATGCATGCATATATCATTATCATCATTTCATATCCTTACCGTTGCCACATCATAATCATAAAATAACATGGAACATATGTGAGCAACACTTCACAATTTCATACACTAGTTAATAATCACATTAGGTAATACCACTTAACACATATCTTGAGTCTTTACAGTTGTTTAACCAATTATTCCAAACATCAACAAACAACCCAATGATTTGAGACCTTGCGCACCTAAGCAAACATATACACCAAATCAGAATTTACATCTATTTTTCCTAAAATTTACAATCAGTTCCCATGCTCTCTAACCCTTAGGTTTAATCAAGCTCTATACTTCCGAGATTAATTATATATTTTTGCCTTTACTTTTGTCCAATTAATTTCTAGCAAGTAACAAAAGATACATTTTAAGGACCTACACATGCAGGTTCGGTTTTCATAATTACCATGTGCTTATAATTTTTATCTACTACATATAATGCCCTGTGTATTTTAAGGTGCACTCGTGAGGCCAAGGCAAACTGTCCAGTTAAGTTCTTACATACCCAAGATGTGGTTCATTAACTCGGTCCTCACCATTTCATATTAATAAAACTCTACTAACCCAATCAGTCCCAACCAATTTAATTACAACATACTGAGTTCACAAACTTGAAACCAACAAAGCTAGACTCCAATACTTTTTCAAGAGGGCAGCCCCAACGCATACAGTGCTACTTTCAAATGCACAATTCGGGTTTTGTGTGCTTGCATGCAATACATTCAAGGCTGTACCGCAAAAAGGGGAAATGATAGACAGGGAATTATCCCCCCCAAGGCACATATATGCAAGCTGAATAATGAGACACACAGGAGCTTGTGGGTCAGTTTTTAGCATTAGAAGGTGCCTATAATTTTATTGTCTACATCTAATGTCCAACCTAGATTAAAGTGCGCTATAGAGAAGCTACCAGCATACTGTTTTCAACACTTTAAACACATTTAAAACTTGACAAAATTTCTTTAATTCATGGTGCATCCCAACAAAATTTAGGGAACTATCTCCTAGCTCACTATTCTGTTTCTGCGCTTAATTGCATTATGTTCCAAGCCTGATTAGATGAGTATGAGCAAGAGAAGGATGACAAAACAGTTGCATTCCCCCTAAAATGCAAGTGGTGGCCGACTATAATGATGGAAAGAAAACTAGAACTCAGCTTTATCTCCTTTCCAATCTTACGATTTTAACCGATTTGTCATATTCCACTACTGATAATTTTTCCTGCCATTAAATTTTTATTATACAACATGTTATCATTGGTGAAAACCCCAAAGTTGCCCACCTATGAAGGTTCGGCTTTGGCCAGAACTAATGGCCCCAAATTTATTTATTTGTATAATCTTTTCTATTAGACCTACGATGGAGGGATACAAGGCATAAGTGAGCTATATATATATATATATATATATATATATACAGTTTTAACGCAAATAAAGCTTAACCAATCTTATAACTAAGAACTGGTTTGACAATATCCAAAGGTTGTATTTTAAACTTCACCATTCAGTCATTAATTTGTCTGTATTAACAGCCAAGACTTGGTGACCGAACAGTAATTGACAGAATGGCAGAAACGAACTCCTTAAACCACTTATGCTACCCGAAACAGAGGAGGAACATATAAGAGATCAATACTCATAGGTACCTTCATGCTTGTATACCACAAGCTCGCCACACAGCCAAGGAATCTGCCTCCAATTTTGTTTTAAAAAAAACAGACTTCACACTCCCATTCTCCAATGTTTCCGTTTTCAGCCACATGCAATACACCCTTACTCCCCAAGTTCCAACTTTCAGCTGCATGCAAGGGAAGGATCGACTCCAACAAGGCAGAATCAAGTTCCAGCAACAGAGAAAAGCTCAATTAGAAATCGTTCTAAGTAGGGAAGAATAAAAGGGCAGCGAAAGTTACTTCACCTTCTCTTATTCGGAATAGACGGTGTGCACATAAGAAGGAAAGTGGTGCTGAACGACTGTTTCATCTGGCATTTAGTCGAGAATCCTCATCCAGCCGAAGGAAGGAGAGACGAGCAAGGAATAGTGAAGAAGGAGCTTATGGCCCACTTTCCATGGCTGTTGTAACTCAGCCGAACCAATGAGGACAAAGAAATGGAACTTAAATGGTAGCTCTCCTCTCCATAATTTCACGGTTTTTGGGAAACATAGAAAGGGGAGGAGACATGCAATCTTCCTATACGATGCACGGTTGATCAAGGAGGGATGGAATGAGGAGCGGTTGAGTGTCTTACTCCATTCATAGGTGCTCATGACTTTTGGGAAAAATGGGCAGTCTTGGTGCTCTCTCCTACGCATAAAAGGGGCTAAAGGAAGATCAGATTTTTAACTCATGAGAATAGGATCCTTGGTCATGAGGGGCTTAGCCAAACTATGTAGAAAGGATCCTAATTTTGATCCAAGTACAATTGAACAAAGAGATGACATTTGCACAATAGGATAAGAAGATGACATGTGCCCTCATTGGGCGTGAGATGATGGGCTACCATGGGCCAATGAAGTTTCATGCAAGGGGATTTCTTTTATCTAATTGGCTGCATGGTGTGGCCAAATCTGATTACTTAGGACACTAACACAAGTAGCTGAAATTTTCCTTTCCTTCACTCTATACCATGCGTATGACAAGAGATAAAATTTGGATAAAGGTTGCCATGGGTTTCCCTTTGACCAATAAAGATTAAGTATGCAGGCAGATTTTACTTGTGCAATTGGTGATGAGGCTTAATGAATAAAGAGCTGGACATAATTCTTCTAAGTCTTGGGCCATCGCCCTACTGGGCTAGTTGGACCCTAATAACTAAGCCACATTATTTCATGTAATTGACTAAATGTTATCTAGAATTTCATGACATGTTGCACTTTAATTATTTTCCTAATACTTATTACTTCATGTAAGGTTCACTTGTCACA